CTTATCCAAGTGCAAAACAACTTGTCCAGATGTATATCGTCCTATACGACATTAACTGTGCTGTGTTATTTAATTTAATTTTTGAAACAGGAAGAAGTGTAGAAAGGAATCGGTGGAAAACATGAACAAGAAATTACACGTTGGCGTAGTTTTTATGGTAAAAGAGAAACAAATATAAAACGTTTTAAAAGGAACAAAGGGGTACTGCTAAATACCTGGCTTATGAAATCTGCATTATTCTCACCACAAATAAATAATTTTGTATTTTCTTTTGAACCCATTTTGAAAATTTGTTTTTAGATTTCACACCTGATCCACTTGACTTCGATTACGACCGTGACACTCAATTAATGGAAATCAAAAGTCCAAACGCCTACATCACCAGAGATTTCCGGATTGACATCCACACTTAGAAACACTTATAAACTTCTATTTTTTTACTCTAGTTATTATCTTGGTGATTCGCTAGTTCTGTTGATCATAATGAGTTTGGTGAATTATGGGTCGAGCGTTTTCATTGTGTTTTCCACATTAAGTTGTTTGTTAAAGTAAATTGTTTTTCAGTAATTCTGTAATTACATGTAGACGTTAGGAGAAAGGGAGGAGCTTGCAGTGACATCATAATGACGCAATTGCAGGGAATTCAATATCCACATTAAACCCCCACAGCACAGGACGCAGTTGAGGTCGACATCTATTTTCGGATATTTCCAGATTTTAGTGTGGGTTCTGTGCTCACTGCCAGTTCGTCAACACTCGCTCGGATTTGCAGGAAAAAAAGAGAACCGAAATAGAGCGTACAAATCGCAGGTGGGAGGAGGAAATGGAGAAGAGGAATATATTGTGTGGGAAAAATAGGAAGTGAATGAAACAGAGCAACTTCTACAAAATTCGCTGTGCTTACTTTAACTCAACACTTAGAAGAAAATCTCTACCTGAAGCTCTTCTTCCAATTATGTAGAAATTATGCATGCACAATATCTCAAAATTGCAATAAAGTTCTGTTTGATGTTTTCGCGACAGAAATAGAACCGTGAGGTGGGTGTGATTGATAGAGTGAGGATGGTGTGAGTAATAAAGAAGTCGCTCGGCTTTGGCAACATATTTTCTTTTTAAAAAGATTATTTGAGAGTTA